AAAAATTAGAATAGAGCAATTGGAAGATAGTGACTTTATGAGAAATCAGACACATAGAACAAATCCAAAAGAATGAAAAATTAGAAAACAATGTGAAATATCTCATTGGAAAAACAACTGACCTGGAAAATAGATCCAGGAAAGAGAATTTAAAAATTATTGGACTATCTGAAAGCCATGATCAAAAAAGAGCCTAGACATCATCTTTCAAGAAATTATCAAGGAAAACTGCCCTGATATTTTAGAACCAGAGGGCAAAATAGAAATTGAAAGAATCCACAGATCTCCTCCTGAAAGAGATCCCCAAAGGAAAACTCCTAGGAATATTGTAGCCAAATTCCAGAGTTCCCAGGTCAAGGAGAAAATATTGCAAGCAGCCAGAAAGAAACAGTTCAAGTACTGTGGAAACACAATCAGGATAACACAAGATTTAGCAGCTTCTACATTAAGGACCGAGGGCATGGAATATAATGTTCCAGAGGGCAAAGGAGATAGGATTACAACCAAGAATCACCTACCCAGCAAAACTGAGTATAATCCTTCAGGGGAAAAAATGGTCATTCAGTGAAATAGAGGACTTTCAAGCATTCCCTGGTGAAAAGACCAGAGCTGAATAGAAAATTTGACTTTCAAATACAGGACTCAGGTGGAACATGAAGAGGTAAACAGGAAAGAGAAATCATAAGAGACTTATTAAGATTGAACTGTTTACATTCCTGCATGGAAAGATGATATTTGTAACTCATGAGAACTTTGTCAGTATTAGGGTAGTTGAAGGAAAAAAATTATATGTATGTATATACAGATAGATAGATAGATAGATAGAGGGCACAGGGTGAGTTGAAGATTAAGGGGTGATATCTGAAGAATAAAATTAAGGGGTGAGAGAGAATTATACTAGGAGAAGGAGAAAGGGAGAGGTGGAATGGCACAAAACAGAAAAGAAAAGGCTCTTACAGTGGAGGGGAAACAGGGGAAGGTAAGAGGAAATGAGGGAATCTTATTCTCACAGGACTTGGCTTAAGGAGGGAATAACATACACACTCAATTGGGTATGGAATTCTGTCTTACACTACAGGAAAATAGGGGAGGAAGGGGACAAGAGAGCAGGGGGATGATAGAGAGAAGGGCAGATTGGGAAAGGGGTAATCAGAAGGAAGTACTTTTGAGGAAGGTCAAAAGAAAGAATAGAAAAAATGGGGTTAGAGCGCAATTAGGGTTAGGGTTAGGGTCAGGATAGGATTAAGGGAAATATACTTAGTTTTTCAGAACTTGTCTACTATGGAAGTGTTTTGCATAACTGCATATGTATGGCCCATATTGAGTTGCTTGTCTTTTCAATGAGGGTGGGTGGGGTGGGGGGAAGGGAGAAAATTTGGAACCCAAAGTTTTAAAAACATATGTTTTTTAAAAAAAAGAAAAGAAGAGAGCAGAAAATTGAATCCATAAAATAAGAAATGAGCAAGGTGAAATGACTGCAAAATCAGAAAAAAGAAAATGGACAATCAGAACATATGACGCACAATGTTATACTACTGAAACTGAGAACCCAAAAGAAATAGAGGAACATCTCCAAAAACATGAATTACTCACAGAATCAGAAGACCACATAGAGAAAACCAGAAATGAAAATAGATTACGATGTAAAGGAATTATCAAAGTTTTCACAAACTCCCAGGAGACTTCTATAATTTGTAAAGAGTTGGCACCCAGATTTCTTAAATAATTCCCTCAAATAAGAAAGTATCCAACCAGAATCCTTTCCTCAAATACAGACCTAATACTTAAACCAGAGAACGAGAAAACACAGCAAGTAACCTACAAGGCAGTATCACTGATGAAAAGTGACTGAAAAATTTTAAACGACACTATCAATACAACTAGAGTAGACCCGCTGGAGAATTTCAGAACACCTTGAAAGACTTACATGGACTGATACAGAGTGAAGTGAGCAGCATATCATACACAGTAACAGTGATACTATATAATGAACACCTGTGAGTGAGTGAGCTATTCTCGGCCATAGAATGGTCCAAGATAATCCCTAAACATTCAAGATGAAAAAATGCCACAAAATGAATATGGAAATGTTTGACATGATTACACATGTATAATCTACATCAGATTGCTTACCATCTCAGGTAGGGGTTAGGCAGGGAGTGAAGGATAGAATTTAGGTCTGAAAACAATGAATATTTAAAGTTGTTTTAAATGTAATTGAGGAAAAATAAAATATTATTAAAAAATTCCCATAGTGACTTATTCAAGAAATCATTCATTATCATCAAATGGGATTTATACCAGGAATGCAAGGATACTTCAACATTAGGAAAACATAATCAATCAGATTCAAAACCAAAGCATCCAAAACCACTTGGCCATCTGAATAGATGCAGAAAAAGCCTCTGACAAAGTACAACACTCATTTATGCTAAAAACTCCATAAAAAGTATCGGCCCACTGGGACCTTCTTCAATATCACTAAGACATTTACCTAAAACCAAAAGCAATTACACATGAAATGGGGATACATTAGAACCTTTTTCCATAAGGCTGGAGGTGAAGCAAGGATGGCTCCCCTCTCCACAATCATTTGATGTAATTCTGGAAATGCCAGTAACAGCAATAAGACAAGAGAAAGGAATGAAAGGAATACAGGTAGATAAAGAAGCGATCTAATGATTCCTGTTTACTTGGAAAATCCCAGGGAATCAGCAAAGATACTGAGATAAATGATAGCTTAAGCAAAGTTGCAGTTACAAAATAAGTCCTCAAAAATCAATAGTATTTTTCTATGATAATAATAACATGGAAGAAGGAATAACAGAAAGAGAAATCCCATTCCAAATAAGGAAAATATGTAGACAATATCTGGGGCTCAACTTCCCAAAGCACAGCAGAGTTGTATAGCTTCAAAATACAAAGCAGTCTTTAAAGACATGAAGGACTAGGGGCAGCTAGGTGGAACAGTGGAGAGAGCATTAGCCCTGGAGTCAGGAGGACCCGAGTTCAAATCCGGCCTCAGACACAAAACAATCACTAGCTGTGTGACCCTGGTCAAGTCTCTTAACCCCAATTGCCTCACCAAAACAAAACACATGAAGGACAATAGGAAACAAAAACAAAAACAAAAACCTTGGTATGACATTTCAGTGATAAGTGTTTGGTGTCCAAGATCTATAAACAATTAATGAACATAAGACTAACAACCATTCCCAATAGAAAAATGGTCAAAGGATAGGAACAAAGAATTCTCAAAAGAACAGCCAAGTATTCCCAACCACATGGGAAAACGCTCCAAACCACTAACAAGAGAAACGTATACCAAAACACTGAGGCATCATGTCATACTCAGCAAAATTGACAAAAATGGCACCAGTCAACGTTGGAGGGGTTGTGGGAAGATAGGCACACTAACACCATGTTGGAGGAGCTAGGAAATGGTAGAAGATCATGAAGATCTGAGTTCAAATCCAGACTCAGATACTAACAAGCTATGTGACCCTGGTTAGTAAGTCACTGAACCTCTGTTTGCCTTAGTTTCCTGAACTGTGAAATAAAGATAAAAAGGACACATATAGGGTTGTTGTGAAGATGGTCAAAAGTGGATTTTGGGGAGAAAGTAAGTCACTCATTGTGTCTGTCATAATTCTTTGCCTTTGATTCTGATGCCTCTTTGACAAGAACTGAGCATCTCCTTCAGTGTGCCTCTTTCCCCAGTTGGAAAAGAAAATTCCCAGGACTTTGAACAGTTCCCCAAACTTAGCCCTTTCCCTATGTCCTCTCTAACCAGAGAAGTCCTAGGCCCTTCACAAATGCCAATTAACAGCTAAGGAAGGTACTCTTTTTCTTTGGCCTGGGCCAAACAGCTCTGCTAAGGGCCTATGAACACTTGAAGCTAGGCTTTTTGGGGGAAAAGCACCATTTCTGTACCTTTTTCTGATTAGTGGCTGTATCTGGTGTCATTCAAAACTATTTTGACTCTCTCTGGGTTTGGTAGCTCAGGAGGAGAAGATACATATGTGTGTATATGTATGTGTGCACATATGTATGTATATATACACATTTATACATACATGTACACACACACACACACACATATATATATATATATATATATATATATATATATGTATTAGTTCTTGCTTCCTTCGAGTATCAGCTAAAATCTTACCTTCTTAAAAACTGATTTTCCTTTTAGAAACTCTAAGAATATCTCCCTTCTATACCGTGGAGAGCTTGTGTGGACACGGCTGCTGGCGTGTCTCCCCCATCAGACTGGGAGCCTGTTGAGGGCAGGGCCTGGTTTTTCCTTCCTTTGTTTACACAGTAGATTAGCACAATGTCACTACCCTTTCAAAATGCTTGTGGTCTTCACCTAAGAAATGGTAAATAAGAAGGATTCAGAGAGATGTGGGAAGACATGTGTGAGCTGAGGCCAGAGGAGGACATGAGCAGCACCAGCAGGACCATTTCTGCTCTGCTGACTGTACTGCAAAGGAGGAGGGCTGGGGGAGCCTTCAGGGCTCTGCTCCAGGCCTGCCCAGACAAGCCTTAGGGTAAAGGGATTTTCTGGGCCTTCATTTGATACAAGGGAGAGGTGGGTTAAAGGAAACAAAGAGGAGGGGGAGAAGTTCTATGGATGTGTGGGGGAAGGGTGTAACACAAAGACAAGACCCCTGCAGAAGAGAGAGGAATGAGTGAAGTGGTCATCCTTGTGACTCAGGGATCAGGAGGGGAAACTTCAAAAACCAACATGGGAGGGCAGCAATTTGGGAAAGGGGTGGTGGTGGTGGACGAAATGCCAAAATGTCAATGCATCATTTTAAAACACAGGAGAGAACAGTGCAGTATTGTTATTACTATTTTCAATTCCGTGCCTATTTTTGTAAAGGAAATCCATAGGTAGGGGATGGCGAACCTTGTAGACAATCCTCTTCGTCTCTAGAAATGGCCTCCTTTGCTGATGTGGGTCAAGTCTGAGGACAGAGTGCACTCACCTGGGTTGGGGGTCTGCGGCTCCCAGAGGCCATTCCCTCTGGTTCCTGGCTCCCTGCTTGGTCAGGCCTTGGTCTTCTGCACACTGAGCTGGGGAGGCCAAAGGATCCCAGAGGGGCAGAGGTCTTTCCCTTATCTTCCTGAGCAGCAGGCTGGTGTACAGGGATTTACTGAGAGTGAGGTCCTACAGGTGTTACAAAGACCCTGCCCTGTCCTCAGGGCAGAGACCCCAACCTACACAGGGAGGGAGAAAGCAGGTAGGGTCTGGTTTGGAAATGAAGATGGTCTAAATAGGAAGGCTACATCCCTCTCCCACTCTTTCTTTCTGCCCCCTTCCTCTCCCCCATTCTCTTTCAGAGACCCAGGAGGCAGAAGGGGCTTGAGATCCCAGATGGGATGAGACCAGGCAGAGCCTCAATGGCTCCTGAATCAGAGCTCTCCCTACACTTGGTCCTCTACCCTCCCTGCCTCCCCTCTCCCCAACTAACACACACACACATTATCTAGACAACAGACTGACTGCTAGACCTAGGAGGGAGGGAAGGTTGGAGATGGAGAGGGCTCTGGGATGGAGCCACCAAGAATGACCAGGGAAAAGCCTGAGGCTGGGAGACAAAATCCAGTCTGGCATTCAGCTCCCTGGCAGGGGCCCTGAGGTCTCTGAAAGAAGAGGGGGCAGGGAAAGCAGGAGGTCTGGGGAAGAGGAGCACAGATGGGGTTGGAAGGGAGACATTCTGAGCCAGCTCATGGCAGGGAGGTCAGGGACACTGGAGAGACAGAAGGGCTCCAGGTGGACACTGAGCCTCGGAAAGCAGGATGGCTGTGTGCTGAGGTCTAACTAGGAGCTGGGGAGGATTCCTGGGACTCTCTGGTAGAGTTTAGGTTTGGAATCCCCCAGAGGAGAGCTCATGCAGGGAGCCAGTGCCTGGGATCTGACAGGGAAGCAGCCCAGGAGCTGGGGGTCCAGATAAGGCAGGAGCTGGGGGGTCCTGCATCCAAAGCAGGATAAGACCTTTGGATCCTTGCAAGGGGCTTGGTCTGAAGGCAGAACAACTCAATCTCTAACGAAAGGTTGGGGGCAAGGAGACAGGATTCCTGCATCCTGATGGGAAGATGGAAAGCAGGATTCTTTGATCTGATGGGTGTAAAGTATGAATTTTGGGAAAAGGTGACCCAATGGTAAGTCTGGGGAGGGTGACCCCAGGCATTTGGGAAGTGATTGGGAGTCTGGAAAGGTAGCCAGGCCTGAGCAGGAGGATTGCTCCAGGTAGACCTGGAGGACACTCACCACGTGGTCAGATGAGGAGCATAAGACCCAATTGCAAGAGCAGCCAGCAGAAGCCAGGAGGTGGGGGGTGGGGTGGGAGGGGACTGGCTCAGACCTGCTGGGACCTGCACCCGCAGAGCTGGCTTCCAGAAGAGAGACCCCAGATCCAGGGAATGTGGTGAGTTCTCAGCTCCGAGAGAAGGCAGCACGATCTGAATTCTGGAGAAGGCGGAAAGGTCTCAGCTCCAGGGAAGGCAGAGAGAGCTCAGCTCCGAGAGAAGGTAGCGATAGTTCAGCTGCAAAGGAAGAAGGCAGACCAGTCTCAGCCCAAGTTCCTGTTTTCAGCCAGCCCACTCTGGGAGGGTCCTCCCACGCTCTGCCCAGCTGCTAAGGCCCCCAGGAAGGGCCGTTTCCTCCAATCACGCCCAGGCCAGCCGCTCCAGATCCTGCCTGCCTCTCCTCCCCAACCCTTGCCCTCCCTCACATGGAATGCCTTGGCCACTGGGATGAGCCCTCTTCTGCCCTAAACCCCTCCCAGGCCTCCAAACTCCACCCCAGGGCTCTTATTCCACGTGGGCCACCACCCAGCAGGCTGGTCATCTCTGACAGCTCCTCCTCCCCCATTCTCTGCCACCTGATTCCTTATTGGAGGAAAGATGCGGGACTTTAGGAGGTGGGAGGGGGAGAGCAAGGAAGAGGCAACCTGGAGATTTCCAGGCAAGGGATCCACAGCCAAACAAGCTTAGTTTCAGAATGGAGGTTGTCACAAAATGCAGTCAGCTGGGTTAGCACGTTTCTCCTGACTCAAATTAGAATGGGGCTCAGTTAAAGTCAGATGTGTTCTCCCAGGTTGCTGTTTGTCCTTCGTTCTCGTACAGGACCACGACATCAGGAAGCTGATACCGTGCTATGCAAGTGAATTGGATTGAAGAGAGGGAGGGCTGTGCAAAGTGACCAGCCTTACTTTCTGCTCCAGAGCCATCTGGGTCCAGTGGCCAGATGTGGATCAGGAAGACTGGAGATGGCCCAGGAAGCAGTAGGAGACCATATCCTTTTTAAGCCAAGGTCTTTAACAGGAAGATAATTGGGATGTTTGACCCTCTAAGGATAGTGAACCCCTAATGCAAAATACACTTCAAATTTTGCATTTAAGGTGATGTGTTTAGGAGCTGTAAAAATAAGAAATAAATATAAGAACTGCCCCATTCTGCTCTCTGAATGGAGTCGATCTAGAAGTCAAATGGATAAAAGGAAAAAGTGATTTTTCTAACTAAGATAATTCTAACATAATCAACTGAATTGATGTCCTTTGACAACTTTGTTTCATGTTTTAAAATTGTACCATTGTTTATGTTATTATTATGCTTCTAATTTTTCTCATTTGGAGATTTTGGAGAAAATATTTTATAAGAAATGCTGTTAATTTGAAAAATGATTTCTAGAAGGTTATGTAATTGTCCCTTTAGAAGCTGAACTCTTCTTTTGATCTGGATAGTTTAAAATCATGAATTAAGCTGTAAAAATGTAGTTACAATATTTTAAAACTGTTACATATTTAATTGGGCAAATTTTGCTTTAAAATGAATAATTTTTACCACATAATGAATTCTTATCCCAAAATCTTAAGTCTTTACACTTGTCAAATACAAGGTTATTATGTTAATTTGGTATCTCACACCATTTACTAAGTTCAAAATGGATACATGATCCATATAGATAAAGAGATTTTGACAAGACAATTAAACACAGGACATGTTACTTATCAGATTTATGGATAGGTGAACGAACAAGTTATATAGAGGAAAATTAGGTGTACAATGGATAATTTCAATTACCTTAAATTAAAAGATTTTTCTACAATGAAAACAAATATAGCCAAGATCAAAAGGAAAGCAGAAAATTTTGGGGGAGGATTATAGACAGTTTATCAGGTAAAGGTCTCATATCTAAAATATGGAAAGAACTTTGTCAAATCTGTAAGAATATAAGACATTCCCCAATTGATAAATAGTGAAAGTATATAAACAGACAATTTTCCAATGAAGAAATCAAAACAATTTATAGTCAGATAAAAATGCTCCAAATCATTATTGATTAGAGAAAAGAAGATTAAAACAATTGGCTAAAATGATAAAAGAGGAAAGTGACAAATGTCGGAGAGGCTAGGGAGAAATTGGGACACAAATTCATTGTTGGTGGAATCGTAAAATGATCCAACCATTTTGGAAAGCAATCTGAAATTATACCCAAAGAGCTACTAAACTACATTTTCCACTTGGACCCAGCACTACCACTATTTGGTCTATTTCCAAAGATAATTGGGGAAAAAGGGGAAAGAGTCCATATGTTCTGAAATGTTTATAGCATCTCTCTTTGTAGTGGCAAAGAATTGGAAATTTCAGGGATGCCCATCAATTGGGGAATGGCTGATCAAATTCTTGCATATGATTGTGATGGAGTGCTATTGTCCTTTAAGAAATGATGAACTCAATGATTTTAGAAAAACAGGGAAAGACTTGTACAAAACAATGAAGAGTGAAACCAATGGAAGATTGTATGCAGTAATAGCAATGTTATTTTAAGAATTATTTTGATTATTCTGTTTATTATAAATACCCAAATTAACTCTAAAGGACATGTGAATAAAGACATTATCTGTATCCAGAGAAAGAACTGAGAAATAGAAGTATATATAGAATAATTTTACATGCCTACATACATGCATGTATGTGTCGTGGTAGTCATCCTAGGCATAGGTGTTGAGGGAAAGAAAAAAAAGAGAAAAAAGAAATTTACACGATAAATTTGTCATATATTTGAAAGGAATAGCAAGTTGTCCTATTTGCAGTAGATTTGCAGTTTTATGTACAATCATCTTTTTTATTGCACTGTATAGGTTATTGAAATGTTTGTTTTATTCCATAAATTAAAAAATAAATTATTTTTTAAAGTAATGATTAATAATAATAATAATAATAATAATTACAAAGTCTTTGAGGAAAGTCCAAAGGACCTTGTAAATTCTTCTTATCATTAAAAGGATAATTCTTTGTTCAGGCTTTCACCTCGATTAAGTGGGCAAAACTCAGGACAAAGAGAATTATAGGAAGTTTATTATAATATGTCAAGGTAGCAACACATTGAGGGGCTCATCACTGTAGATCAGCAAGGGATTCAAGATGCAGCCAGCTTTTATTGATAATTTTTGTACAGAGATAAAAGACAATTTAGATAGGCCCATGTCAGCAAAAGGGGCATTGCATCTCAATATTTCCCCAATCACCAGTACCTGAAGGTTAACAGGTACAAACAGGCAGAGGTCACGTGTGATATGGCAACTCAAAAAGACAAGTTCAAGGGTCCCCTAACACTCCTCAACATTTGCAATGTGATGAACAGCAAGTAGTACCAAAGCAGTGGACTGGGTGATGCCTTCCTTAACTCTGATTGCCGTATAGATTGGAAAACTTGCAATTTAAAGGTTTGTTTTTCTGCATTTCTTGTGAGGTTTCTATGCCCTAATATATGGTAAATTTTTGTGAAGGTGCCAGGCACAGCTGAGTAATAAGTATATTCCATCCTATTCTCATTAAAATTTCTCCAGGAGTCTATCATATCTAACTTTTCTTTATTCTTTCTTTTATTTTATGGTTAGATTTATCTAGGCCTGAGAGGTATAAATTGGAGACCCCTAAGTTTGCTAAAACAATTTGGTTTTGTGTGTGTTTGTTTGTGCTTGTGTGTGTGTGTGTGTGCGCACACTAAAACTAGCATTGTTCTACTGTATTTCCTCCTGTAACTCACTTAACATTTGCGTTATCATTTTGGATGCTCTGCCATTTCATGAATTTATCTTTAGTATGGCTCATTTTAGCAAAATATAGTTTCCCTGATTATCTCTTTTAATCAGGGCTATTTTTGCCTTTGCTTTGTCTGAGATTATGATGGATACCCCTGCTTCTTTCATTTCAGCTGAAGCATAATAGATTTTACTCGACTTCTCTATTTTAACTCTCTGAGTGTCTTTTTGTTTGAAGTACGTATCTTATAAACAACATGTTCTTGGATTCTAGTTTCTAATCCATTCTGCTATCTTCATCCATTTTATGGATCCTATTCACATTCACAATTATAACTGCTAAATGTGCATTTTCTTCCATCTTATTCTTTTCTATTTATCCTTCGATTTTTTACCCTGTGCCTTCCTCAAAAGTCTGTTTTGCTAACCTCCCTGAATCCAACCTCTCTCTTACCCCACCCTTCCTTGGTCCTTTCCTCTCCTACTTTTGTGTTAGGTTATATGAATTTCTATTTTCAACTGTGTGTGTATATACACGCACAGATTGATACATGTATACATATGTGTGTATAGTTATTTGTATTGCATGTGTGTGCATTTGTATATGTATATGTATAGGTGTGTGTGTTTTCCCTACTTTTAACCAGTTCATTTCATCCTCCATTATAAAAACTTTTCCTTGCACGCCTCTTCTATGAGAAAAATTTCTCCTTTACCTGTCTACCATCTGCCTTCCTCCAGTGCATCTATTTTTCTCACCCTTTCATTCTTCTTTGGGGATGATCTTAATAAAATAGATTCATGCTCTCTAACTAGACTACTTCTAACCCTGCTAATGGCCATAAACATCTTAGAGGATACATGTATTAACCATCCTCCCATATAGGAATGTAAACAGTTTGACCTTTTCAAGTCCCTTATGATTTCTCATTCATATTTATCTTTTTGTACTTATTTTGCATATTGTGTTTGAACTTCATATTCTGTTCTAGAGTCTTCAGGAATATTTAAAAGTCCTCTTTTCATTAAATATTCTTTTTTATTTTTAGGTTTATACTGAGTTTTTGAGTAGTTTATTCTTGGATTTAATGCCATCTCTTTTGTCTTCTTGAATATCATATTCCAAATTCTACAGGCTGTAATATAATGGCTGCTAAATTTTGTGTGATCCTGGTTGTGGCTTCATGGTATTTGAATTCTTTCTTGCTAGGTGTTTACAATACTTTCTTTTTGACCTAAGAGCTCTTGATACTGCCTATAATATTCCTGAGAGTTTTCATTTTGAGATTACTTTCAGGTGGTGACCCATAAATTCTACTTTTCTGGGGCAGCTAGGTGGCACAGTGGATAGAGCACTGACCCTGGAGTCAGGAGGACCTGAGTTCAAATCTGGTGTCAGACACATAACACTTAATAGCTGTGTGACCCTGGGCAAGTCACTTAACCCCACTGCATAGATCAAACAAAAAATTCTACTTTTCCATTAAGTTATAAGATGGGTGGTTTTGCTTCATAATTTCTTTTTTTCTTCAGCCAAAAACAAGGGTTATTGAAGATTTGCCATATTAGCTAGACTCTTAAGGAATCTGAGCATCTATGGGCTATTGGCTAGATTATAAAAATCTGTGCACTGGCTAGGTTTTAGGAA